GCGTGCGTGCGTGCGTGCGTGCGTGCGTGTGTGCGTGCGTGTGTGTGTGTGAGTGATGCACGCGTGATGTTCGCTACTTTACGATTACGACTGATGGTGATGGCTGGTGTAGCGAGTGGGAATGCTTATGACGCTAGACATAACAACTGCTGGCAGCCGAACCTATAAAACCCGCCCAGACGATTATACTATATAAATATATTATTGCCTTACACGGGTCTAGTTTTTACGCGGCTTTTATTATATAAGCAATTTATGGGGGGATCGGAAGCTTTTCGCACATGTATTTATAAGTGCATGCTGCGGTAGAGAGGCAATTCTCTTTAACTTTAACCATTAGTAACTAGCTGTGAAGCTGGTACTAACCATCGGAATAGTAGTAGTACATGTCCATTTTAATGCAAAAAGTTCCGTCATGATTATAGAATTCCAGAGAAACTTGTGACTGAAGGCACAAATAAATTCATATTAACCGCATGATCAGGTTATTTATTTATTTATTTATTCATTTAATCTTAAGATGAATTGACCTATGTACAGTGATTTGTGACATAGTACCTACTTATTTGTTACCTATGATACCAAAGCCATGGTGAGTACTGAGTACATTATAATTTTCTACATAATACATGCACTAGATACTTTAAATTGACCTTATATATACATTACACTACATACCCTCTAATATATTTATTAGTGTCGTAATAGTCATCTTTTAATTTAAGTAAATTATATAGCTGTGCAACACGCTTCTTCATCCATACAATGGATGAACGCACAAACGATTCGTACAGACGACTCAGGGCTATACAAATGTCCTAATATACGATGTCCTATAATATCAGGGATAGATAATGACCAATTTGTGTAGATTTTTAACTATGTGACAAATTTGTCATTATCAACAGCAATGAAGATACACGTGTGCGCGTTCATCTAAGACGCACTAATACAGTTTAGGGGAAAAAATGTTTCGTCATCGACGGTAATGTGAATGCATTCTCTGCATAACGCGTGACAGCGTACTGCAGCTGTAAATGATTTCACATTACGATGCGTCGCGGTCTGCAATGGTCGTCGGTGAAGCGGCCGTAAGAGAAAGATAGAGAGAGAGAGAAAGATAGAGAGAGAGAGAGAGAGAGAGAGAGAGAGTTTCAAGCTGCCTTGACCCACCATCAAACACTTTACAATCCCGTTGAATCTTTTATGCATTTCAATTTTCACTTCACGTCAGGAAATGAGTAGAAACTTAGCACAACTACACGCACGCACACGCGCACGCACACGCACACGCACACGCACACGCACGTACATTCACCCACGCTCGCACGCATAGAAGCAGCTATATCGATTTCCTCACTATCGCAAGGAAGTTACTTATATAACAAAGAATCTATCATGCGGCCTAGTCCGACTTAATATTATCAAGTCTTGTATTTTAATTTAGCGGTTTTATCCATTTGTTTGATATCGCACCCAAGCGGCGCAATCAGCCAGTGTGAAGGGGGCTTTACACGGGAATATAAAATGAACATTGTGATGCATACACGCATTTGCAGTTTCATACGTGAATGGAACGTACAGTACGTAATATTCGCAAGCGCATCACATAAGAACGTGCATCCACGATATGGGAAGGGTATACGTAGCAGAATAATATACCTAGATGGATCAGCACGTAGCCAGTGTATACCTAGATGGATCAGCACGTAGCCAGTGTATAATATATAACTATGTGCAGTTTGTTATAGCTAGGTACTGCGTGTGTTACTGTGTATAAATGAGGTAGCTAAACGTGGGTGGGATGGCTGCATGTAAATAGCTGTGGTGTGGGTGTAGCTACATGTAGCGAAGTGTAGCCAGGGACAGCTACATGTAGCTGGGAGTGGGAGGGTGTAGCTACGAATAGCGAAGTGTAGCCAGGGACAGCTACATGTAGCTGGGAGTGGGAGGGTGTAGCTACGAATAGCGAAGTGTAGCCAGGGACAGCTACATGTAGCTGGGAGTGGGAGGGTGTAGCTACGAATAGCGAAGTGTAGCCAGGGACAGCTACATGTAGC